GTTAAAAAAATAAAAAAAGATACGATATCGATGCCGGTTAAGAGAGAGAACCAACATTGTATCTTAATTAAATTAAAAAAATGGATTAAAAATAGACAGGACCTCAGTTAGAACATATAACCCACGTTAAATCCTAATTATTTTATACATAAAACTGACATATATACTCTGTTTATATGAAAAAAAAAAAGAATTAAATATCACTAAATAAAATAATCTGTCTAATAGAAATCTCAATGTGAATATAGAAAATATGAGATATAAGATTTATATCAATGTGATTTTTTTTTTTTAATAATATAAGATCGATATAACGTTGGGTTTTTGCAGAACTGTCGTTATATCATGTGAATACAAGAGAGGAGTTTATGACATAAAGCACCACCAACCTTAGTGAAAGTGACTTGTAATTAGTAGAGATGGATAACATAACATATAAAGCCTATGTGATATATAATTTACATAAGAGTGGATGCACTATGTATAATTGTATGAAAGTTTGTACAAGAGAGGAGTTTATGACATAAAGCACCACCAACCTTATGAGTAAAACCTTCAATATAAACTTCATAACATCTAACTTATTTTTGACATGACAGAATAAATTACACTTATAAAAAAAAAATTAAAAAGAAAGAATAGCAAACCAACCATAGTTATCAACGGATCATTATTGTACAAGAGAAGAGTTTATGACATAAAGCATGCACCACCAACCTTATGAGTAAAACCTTCAGTGACATATGAGTTGGATGTTATGAAGCTTATAGTGAAGGTCCTTCACTATAAGCTTCATAACATCCAACTTATTTTTGACATATGACAGAATAAATTACACTTAAAAAGAAAAGAAAAAAAAATAGCAAACCAACCATAGTTATCAACGGATCATTATTGTGTGGACTATGGTCCACGCAACTGTGTGGACCATACTATCAAATACTACCTCCGTCCCATTTTATGTGTCTTGGTTCGGTTAACGAGCTGAGGCTTGACTGAAGTTATTATTAATCTAATTTTTCATAATAGTAAGTTTAATATTTGTATACAAAATTTATATATTTAGAAACTACACTAAAAGTACTATTAAACACAAAAATTTAAATTTAAAAATAAGTAAAAAATACTAAAGAAAAAAAAAAGAGTTGGTTTGACCCAATAAATAGTAAGTAGGACAGTTAAAATGGGACAAAGGGAGTAATGTACATTTAGTATATTAAAAATGTACATTATATTCAGAAAAAGTACATTATTTGAACACTGAAAATACATTATTTTATATAATGTACATTCAGTACACGAATAATGTACTTTTAGTATATAAAAAATGTAATTTTGTTATGGTCCACACAACACTATATGGAACATGGTTCACACAATAATTTGCCGTTATCAACTATAGGTCAAGAACAAACAAATCAAATAAGTTACAGGGGTGATGGCCAGTTGGTATATAGAGGACGAACATATTTCCACGACAAAGCCCGACACTCAGGATGGTAGATTACTTGTTGGAACTGTCATGATATCATGCATCTAAAAGCATGGAAGGTCCTGTTAAGCAGTTCTTCAATAATTTCCCTGGCTTGTTTCAGCTGTGAATCAACAATATTGATTGGTAGCTCTGATCAGCCTCAATCAAAACATGAAGGCCGGGGATCATTTAGGTGCTCATAACCTGGCCGTCCCCTTAGGCTTTCCTCCTCGAAACTGACCTCCTCTTTATATTTCAACTTAAAGGGTTGGAGCTCATCTTCGATCATCATACAATATGATCCAAACAACGGTCTTAATTGTTTCATTGCAAATGGTATAGCCACCTGTGTAACATGAAAAGCAATATAATTACATTTAATAATTAAAAAAAAAAAAGCATAAAGCAAATAATAGAGAAATCTTTGTCAATTGTATGACTCACAAGCAAAAAAAAAAAAAAAAAAAAACACATACCATTCAAGATTTATAGCCATAAGCTTTGATCTGGCTTTCCTCTCACTCCATGCTATGCTCTTTCTATCTCTCAGTCACTCTTTTTTGGAAGGTCGGCGATCAGAACATTAGAAAAAAAGAAAAACACATTTCACAAAAACGCGATATAAAGGTATATATTTGAGTGGGTTCAGACCCAAAATGCGAATGGAGTGAGGCCCACCACTAATGGGCACGACTTTAAGAATCTCAATATATACAAAACATGATTGTGTGGGTTCCCTGGCAAAACATCATTTGAGCAAGTGGGGCCGACCGTTACAAACCTCGATATGATTTAAAAAATGTCAATACAAAACACGATTTGAGTGGGTCCCTTGAAAAAATGTCATTCTATGGGACCCACCACTACAATGCATGGTTTTAAGGATCTCAATACAAAACACGATTTGAGTGGGTTCTTGGCAAAACGCCGTTGGAGTGGGGCCCCCCACTCCAAAGCATAATTTTAAGAATCTCAATACAAAGCACTATTTGAGTGGATCTCTGGGCAAACCACCGGTTAAGTGGGGCCTACAACTTCAAAACACGGTTTGAAGGACCCTACTACAAGTCACAATTTTAAGAATCTTAATATTAAATATGATCTGAGTGAGTCCCCTGGCAAAATTCCGTTTGAGTGGGGCTCACCACTGCAAAGCATGATTTTAAGAAACTCAATACAAAACAGGATTTAATCGCATCTCTTGGCAAAACATAGGTTGAGTGGGGCCCACAACCAACAAAACATGGTTTGAAAAACCCACTACAAGTCACAACTTCAAGAATCCCAATAAAAAAATACGATTTGAGTGGTTCCTTCGCAAATCGCTGTTTCAGTATGGCTCACCAGGCCACTACAACACATGATTTTAAGAATCTCAATACAAAACACGATTTTAGTGGATATCCTGGCAAAATACAGGTTGAGTGAGGCACATAACTATAAAACATGGTTTCAAGAACCCATCCACTACAAGTCACTATTTTAATAATCCCAATACAAAATACAATAATTTGAGTGCGTCCCTGATAGAATGTGGTCTGAGACTCTGAGTGGTCTCACTAATTAAGTGCTAAACATGTCACATGTCATTGTTCAAGTGGACCCACTTTCCACAAAGGTGCTAAACGTTCTTAAAGACACAATTTATGTGGTATAAAAATTACAAAATACAATTTTAGGGAATACTGTGTTATAATCAAATATTTATGAATGTATATATAAGTGGAAGATTGAAAAAATTCATTACATGAAAGACGCGGTTTGGAAGCTGGATCCGGATAGCGCAGTGGGGCCAGATGGTTTCTCGGGCGCTTTTTTCAGAAGCTACTTGGACCTTTTAAATGAGGATGTTTTTTGGGCAGTGACAGACTTTTTTTATAGGGGTACCAATCCCCCGAGCTATGGCAAGTTCACAAATAGTGCTTATCCCGAAGAAGGACAATCAGGAATCATTCGCTGATTATAGGCCGATTTGTCTTTGTACCTTTATCAGCAAGGTTTTCACGCGAGTTTTATCCTCAAGACTGGCCATGGTCCTGCCGAAGCTGATTTCTGCAGAACAGGCTAGCTTTATACAGGGCCGCAGCATTCAGGATAATGTCCTTCTGGCCTTGGAGTTAATGCAGTATATCGACAAGAAATGTCGTGGGATGAATGTCGTGGTAAAACTTGATATGATGAAGGCTTTTGATCGAGTATCTTGGCCTTTCCTACAGGAAGTGCTCGAAAAATTGGGTTTCCCGACGAGGTTTGTGGATCTTGTTATGCGCAATTTGCAGGCAACGAGACTATCAATTCTGGTTAACGGCGTAAGCTGCGGGTTCTTTCAGCCAACCTGAGGAGTCAAGCAGGGCGATCCACTATGGCAATAGTTATTCTGTGCAACCGAATGCACCATGCGCATGGTGCATATGATGCAAAACGACGTCGTTTTGACTAAAAACGCGCGTCCCACTTTAAAAAAAAAATCAGGTTCGATTCTAGGCAATAGCATTATTGTGGATATATAGTTATGAATTTCTGGATATATAGTTATGAATTTCTGGATATATAGTTATAAATTTATGGATATTTAGTTCATTCATTGTGGATATTTAGCATTCATTGTAGATATTTACTTCATTCATTCACTGTGGATATATAGTTATGAATTTATGGATATATAGTTATGAATTTCTGGATATATAGTTATGAATTTATGGATATTTAGTTCATTCATTGTGGATATTTAGTTCAATCATTGTGGATATTTAGTTCATTCATTCACTATGGATATATAGTTGTGGATTTTTACTTCATTCATTCACTGTGGATATATAGTTATGAATTTATGGATATATAGTTATGAATTTCTTGATATATAGTTATGAATTTCTTGATATATAGTTATGAATTTATGGATATTTAGTTCATTCATTGTGGATATTTAGTTCAATCATTGTGGATATTTAGTTCATTCATTGTGGATTTTTACTTCATTCATTCACTATGGATATATAGTTGTGGATTTTTACTTCATTCATTCACTGTGGATATATAGTTATGAATTTGTGGATATATAGTTATAAATTTATGGATATATAGTTATGAATTTATGGATATATAAAAATGCTATTGCCGGGAATCGAACCTGATTTCTTCTTTAAGTCGAACGCGCGTTTTTTTAACTAAAACGACGTCGTTTTGGACCGAATGCACCATGCGCATGGTGCATTCGGTTGCACAGCATAATTTGCGCCACTATGGCCCCTCCTATTTATTCTTGCCTCCTAAGCACTATCCTGCTCTCTTTTGTTAAAATTGGGAACAGGATTGTTTTCACTTTATGTCACGGCTCCAAGTTGCCTGGTAATCACCCACCTGGCGTTCGCGGATGACATAGTAATTTTTGTTAATGGATCTGTGGCCTCCCTCAAAGCTCTCGCAGACGTTTTAACTCAATATCAGGAAGGATCAGGCCAAATAAACTATAACAAAAGTTTTTTTTGTCACTTCCAGGAATTGCACGCCTACCCGAGCAAACACCATGTCGAGGGTGCTGGGAATGCAACAATCTACTTTGCCATTTCGCTATCTTGGAATTAATTTATTTAAAGGTAGGAATCGGCCATTATATTATATGCATCTCCTTGAAAAGGTGGAGGCAAGACTCCAAGGCTGGCAGTGGAAATTACTGTCTCCGGGAGGCAGATTGGTGCTTATTAAACATGTTATCTCTTCAATCCCTCTCTTCACTGCGTCTTCGGTTCTCTTACCTAAGCAGACCGAACGCTCGCTGGAATCAAAATTCGCGAATTTTTTCTGGGGAATGGACAGTGGCAGGCCAAAGAGACACTGGATTTCGTGGAGGAATTTATGCCTGCCCGAAGCTGAGGGAGGACTGGGAGTTCGGTCCCTAGCCACTATCCAGCAGTCATCCTCAGCGAAATTGCTTTTTAACTTGCTTCGTGGGGGATCCTTATGGAGTGATTTTATGGACGCTGCCTACATCAATGGCTCCCATACGACGACCTCTCTTACCTGGAAACGGATGCAGCAAGCACGCGACTTTGTTGATCAACACATCCAAATCACGGAGGAGGCGGTAATCTGGACACTCGCCCCTTTGGGTGATTTCACCACCGCCACAGCTTATGAAGCTCTTAGGCCAAAAAGCTGGTGCCAGCTTGTCTTCAGGCTGCATTTGGAGACAAGGAATCCCCTCGAAGATCTCAATATTTATGTGGAGGTTGCTTCGTCGATTCCTGCCCTTCCCTGATGTGGTGCAGAGGTTTGGTGTGTGTCTACCTTCAATTTGCCCTCTTTGCAATAATGCTTTTGCTGACCTGGAACACTGTCTTTATCGCTGCCTGGTCTCTCAGAGGGTTTGGCAACACTTTCGTGGCATCTTTGGTCTTAACGGTGCAATCTCTAGTTCAATACGAACGGAGTGTCATACGTGGTGGCTTATGGCGCCCCGGGGACGGCAATCTCCTGGTGCTCGACACTCATTCCGTGTCTAACTCTTTGGCGCTGTGGTGCTCTTATAATCGGGGTTTATATGACTCCCAGGTTTCTTCGGCGTTTGGCATCATTAAGCTGATCAAGACTGATTTGTTTGCGCTGTCCTCTGCTCAAAGAATTCGACGGAAAGGACCTGAAGACGACTTCCTTTTGGCGTCTGGTCTAGTAGTGAGGTTTGCTCCTCCGCTGCAGAGAAGACTATTTGGATCAAGTGGTTAACTCCGCCGAAAGGGAGGCTAAAACTCAACACTGACGCTTCGCTTGTTGAGAGCGCTGCTGCGGGTGGTGCCTGCCTGCGAGATAGTCGTGGCTGCCTCATAGTTGAACTCTGTTTCCGCTTAGAGGCCGCTTCGGTTTTGGAAGCTGAGGCTTGTCGTTGCTGTCCGCACTGCAATGGTGCACGGCCATCGCCAAGCGCCCAACCATGGTCGAAGTGGACTCGCTCACTCTCATCACTTTGGTGATGGAGCAACTGTCCGGGATACCATGGCGTTTAAGGGAGTTGATACCTGCTATTCGTTCTTGTTTGGACTCGTGGGGTTCCGCAATCAAACATGTGTATCGGGAAGCCAATCAGGTGGCTGATGCTCTAGTTTCATTTGGGTTGAGTTTTCCCGCTTCTATGATTTTTAGTACTGTTAACTCTTTGCCCGAAAACGCCAAGTTAGCTCTTTTGTATGATTTGACACCGGGCTCTTGCCGTTAATAAATAAACTGCCGTTCTACCAAAAAAAAATAAAAAATTGGCATTTAACTTTCATAATAGATAAAAATAAAATTTATGTCATTGAATGAAAATGTTAAAAAAATAAAATCATTAGATGTAGTTAAATAATTAATGTTATTCAAATCCATTAAATGGAAAAAATTAAACAATAAGTGAAATGATTTTGTACACTATATTATATCACTTATGCATTCAAATTGTTGTAATGTTGTTTGTTTGTGCCCGTTGGCCATTAACTCTAACCGATGAACTTGAACTTTTCAGGAAGAAAGAGATAGACAAAAGTGAAAAGGGGAATGATTTCATTCATCAACCTCACTTACATTGTACATGGGAATATATATAAGATAATCGTAACGGTAAACATAATGGGGACATAAATATGTCTGTTACATAATAATATCCACTAAGTATATATATTTATAACACTCCCCCTTGGACATTATTCGGCCACGACCTTGCCTCGTTAAAAAACTTGTTAGGAAAACCCGGTGGGAAAAACCTAGACAAGAAAAGAGTACAATAGAAAATATATTCATGCCTCATTAAAAACTTCACTAGGAAAACCACGTGGGAAAAACCTAGTTGAAGAAAAGAGTACATGATATATGTAAAAACATATATTGTATTTGGCCGCCTCATTAAAAACCTTAACTTAAGAAAACCCTGTGGGAAAAACTTAGTTAAGGGAAAAAGAGTACAACCATAAGCCTTCAGGGCGCAAACCGCATAATCTTCAGGATTTTGGGGTTTGTCTATTTAAGCAATTATTTTGCAACTTTTCCTCATTTTCATTACTATATCATACTCATGCCTCGTTAAAAACCACACTAGAAAACCCAATGGGAGAAAACTCGTGAGGAAAAGAGTACATGATATTTATGTATTTATGCGTTGCAAATAGTGCGCAATTGTTAGTCTTTTATGACTTAATCTTCAGGATTTTACGTTCAATCTTCCGGATTGATTCAAGTAAATGTACTTCCCGTTGTGTTGCAAATAGTGCGCAACTGTTAGTCTTTTATGACTTAATCTTCAGGATTTTACGTCCAATCTTCCGAATTGATTCGAGTAAATATACTTCCCGTCTCCCCCTGAAGATAACAATCTTCAAGTTCTACATATATTTCAAAATTTGAAGAGATGGATTGGACAAATCTTCTGGATTGTCTCTAGAGTAGTGTACAATAATCTTATGGCTCTTCTAGAGCTCATATAACATTTGTGCAACACAGGTGTTATTGTCCTCATTTTGATCATTTAGGGAAATTCACTGTATAACCAGTTTGGACTTGGCATTACGGGGATCAAACAAAATAGACAGTACCCAAATAGCCTATTAAAACCGTATCACAGTTTCTTACATAAATATCATGTCTTTATATCTTGAAGATACCGGAGGATATGTTAATCATTATTCAAGTACTTCATTGTAGGAGAAGCACTAGATTTTGCTAGCAATTTCATCGCAAATATCATATGCCTGTTGCGATTATGGAACTTCTGGTTCTAAAATGGTGCTCCAACGATAATGAAGTAAGGGACTTCGAGTCCAAATGGTTCCTTATCTGCTTCAAGAGATTATTAGGCAACCTTTAGTTTGATAAAAACATGACACTTATGCATATAGACATGTGAAAAGCATTTTTAGATGTAGGCTGACTGGTGTATAAAAATTCTTCAAGGAAAAACTCGATCTTCAAGTCGAGATAATACTTATAGCTTTCACAAGCTTTTATTTCAAAAATCGATCTTAGTCTTTAAAGATGAACTGACATCATCAAGCTCTTTATATATTTCATTGATGTTTACACCATCAATATTGACTGAGATAATAAATAAGTCTATTATCAACTCTTTATTGAGCACATAATGGTACATATTATTCCTTCTACATGAGGATAATAACCCCATTCACAACTCTTTAAAGAGTAAATAATGGCACTTAATAATACTAAATAAATCCTCATTCGGAAATTATAAATCCATCAGGTATTTCTCATAGATATTTTGTAGGTATAGATTTGCTAACTTGTCATTGGTGCAAATCTTCTGGACAAATATTTTATCACTCTTCTGGAGTTCATGTGGATCAAGGTATTTTATATCATAAAAAAACTATATACGTTTTTATTTGTCCGAAGTATGATGACTTCATGTCAAAAGCATCAATATGAATATTTGTACCTTGATTTGCTATTCCTTATTTCATCTCATAACTTAACAGTCGCTATGACAAAGTGAGAAAGTAATAACGAGATGATAGTATACAAAATATATCTGTAAGAACAAGTATTATCCCTTAGGCTTTAAGATGTTTAAAGATTAAATTGATTTATAATATATCAATCCAAGTCATGGTGTTTAACATAATTCCAATATTCAAAATGACTTCTCGAAAGATGTATTTTATACCTTAAGGATATTAATGGATATTATTTAACATCATTTCCTTTTCTTTCTAGGAGAATCACCAAATCACTCTTTACAAATTACAAAAATAAGATGTGAATTTGGGAATTTTATGTCTCAAAGAAAAGGTATTCAGAAATGTTGTTTTGAAACAACGGACTTCTGGTCCTGAATTATCCTTTTAAGTTAAAATGGTCCTTTATCTACTTTAGGAGATTCTTTGGACTTTTCTTGATAATATATGAGTTAAAATAACGTGTTGTGATATTTAATTTCTTTCATTTTTGAGAATTTATAAATTCATCAAGGATTTTCGAGATAGACATTAGTGTCTAATGACCCATAATTTCTAGGTCATGACTTTAATAAGCTGCATATCTAACTTTATTATTCTGCCAATTATGTAGCGGAACTTTAAATGATATTCGTCATGGGAGAGTATACTTGATTATGGGTTTCTGCGTGAACCCTTAGGCTACAGACTCGCTTTATATCTCACCACCTTATCATTCTTGTTTTTCCTAACACCATTTGTAACCTGCAGGGTTAATACTTCAATGGTGTATAACAGGAATATATTAGCGAGTTGAGCTATATATGCCTTTAATTGCTTTCTTTATACGTTAATCAATCTAGGCGCTTCTGGCACCTAGTTCTGGATCCAGATTGTCATATAATATGAGCAACTTTGAAGGCAATTGTGTTGTCGACAACTTATAACATTTTTCAATAATTTCTCCCATATAGATATATATAAAAGTAATTTTCGAAGTTAACTAGATTATAGCCATTTCCCAAGGATATTTATATCTGGTTGTTCCGCAACCCAGTATTATGATTATTTGGTGCACCTATAAATTTACTGGGTTTTATCGTCGTCTGGACGATCGTCATAAAGATATAACTTTTTAAGAATTTTCAAGAGCTCTAAGATTTTCAAGAGTGACATAAAAAACTTTACTAGATCTAGTTGTTTGTCGATTCTTTATTTTTCTATCGCAATGAATCTCCCATACTTCTGGCATCAAGGAGTATTGATAGATATCAATGGTCCAATTTTGGGGAATATGTATGGGACCTAGTCACTCTTTTTATGAAATAGATTATTTGGCAGATTTCTTTATGAACTTCTAGTTCAATCTAATTGGTACGTGGATTTGATTTTTGAAGATCATTTCATGAAATTTCTCGGCATTCTATTTCAATTTTGATCATATCTCCCCCTAATGCCGTGTACCGATCTTCATGCAGTCAGCGTATCCATCGCGTCTCTCTCAGGGGCTTTAAATATTGGAGACAATAGATGGAGGTTTAGATGGATACTCTATGGTGGTCATGTAATAGATTGGACTACATTCATATGAATAGAAACGCAGATTTGGGAAATGTTTGTTTGAAAACCACGTATTAGATGTAAGGGGGAATAAGGATATGCATTGTGCCGAAATTTTTAGCATAAATATTGCATTTCCCCACCAAGTTTATCCGACACATTGGAATAAATACTTAAATAAACAGACCCCGAAAATCCTGAAGATTATGCCTTGAAGGCTTATAGTTGTACTCTTTTTCCCTTAACTAAGTTTTTCCCACAGGATTTTCTTGAGTTAAGGTTT